CCCCAAAACCCCAAAACCCCAAAACCCCAAAACCCCAAAACCCCAAAACCCCTTTTTAATTTCATAAATTGAATATTTTGGTTTTTAAATTAGGATTTAGGAAATGGAGCAAGGTAAGAAAAATAGATCAAATTTTAGTTTAATTTAGTAAGGCTTGTGGTCCGTTAGTTATATGGTGATGATATAACTTATATTAACAATACTTTGTAGCTGGAGTAGATATAAACATTGCAGATTTCGAGTTCTTTGAATCAGGTGATTCTTCAAATGCTGAATTGAATGATAAATCAAAGGTCGGGTGATATATGTACTGCAATGGGAACTTATTGGACATGATGATCATTTCTGTTCAAGAGCAAACTTTGAGTATCAAATTCACAGATCCTTCTCAGATCCTTCAAATTGTAGTTAAGGATTTAGCTAAAGATGAAGTTAAATATGGTAAGTAAAGCTTTGAAAATTTTATTAACATTCTAACTGATTTTTCTCAGGTTCCATCTCAATCGAAGCAGGACTGTTCATGGACAATGCTTCATCAAATTCTAACAGAGTATGGATAACTCTTTTTGATCACTTGGATGATGACCTCTATGATGGAGATTTCACATATAACGATTCAGATTCTCCCAGGATCCTTATTCAATATCAGCTGGCTGGCATGACTCCTTCACAATCAACAAATCAATCAATCACTTCTTATGAGGAGCAAAGCACTGGAGTTAAATAAAACAGTGACTACAACTGTGACAAGAACTACGACAAGTGCGAGTAAAGTTGTTAGTAGTTCCCAGATACAAGAGCATCCAATTGAAAGTGTTGTCACTGAGACAACTCAGCAATATATTGAGGCTTCGAATGCCAGGACAGCTCCCTATCAACCTCAGCTTCAATTTGAAATAGATGGAGAGCCTCATAACAGCAATGGCTATAACATGAGACATGCTGAGGAAGAACTCCATGTTTTGAATCAGAATCTGATCCAAGATATGAATGACAATCAAAGCCAAGCCTTCCAAATTGATGAAGAAAGAGTAGAAGCCATTGGCTCCTTAGAGAGAGCTCATCAAGAGCTCAAAGGGGAGCAAGTACAAGATGACCAACAAACTAAGAGACTAGAGTCAGCTAGTGATGAAATAAGTACCGAAATTGCATCAAAAACCACCAAGGTCGAATCTGAAGTAGAAGATCTCAAGACTAAAATTCATGAAGTTGATGGTCAGTTGAAAGAAACCCAAGAAGAGAAAAATAGAAATGTTGAAGAAGGAAGAAAGCTCCAAGATGTTATTGATATAGAAGAAGACTTGCAAGAAAAAGGGCTATCGCAGGAAGCTAAGGATCTTAGGAATGAAAATGAAACCCTTCAGAAACAATTCCAGCAATCAGCTTCAATTCTCGTCAGTGAAAGAGATGAGAGGGATCAAATGCTAGATGACCATAAGAATCTATGCCAGGAATATGATTCTCAAATCCAGGTATTCTTCAGTAAATTATTCCAAACTGAAGAGTCAAGGAAAATCCATGGAGACCATAGAAATGAGATCATGCATAAAGTAAAGATACTTGAAAATCAAGGAGATTTCTTGGAACAAAAAATTCAGATCAGCGAGATAGATTTAGATGCATTCAAGACAGAACTTGAGTTACTCAGAAATGACTACTCTCTTGATGAGCAAGTCTTTAATGAACAAATTCAAGAATTGCGAGGATCTATCTCTGAGCAGAACACAGAAATCTCTGATTTGAGAGATAGGCTAAACCAAGTTGAATGACAAAGAAAAAGTCTAGATCTCAAAGTAGAAAAACAAAAACTTGACTTAGGCTCATATGAAAAGGAAATTGAAGAAATTGAAAATTTGGGATATGATCAACAAGTTACTGATTTACAAGGAAGACTCAAGACAGTTGAAAATCAGAGGAGACAACATCAAGATGATCTGGAAAAAGCTCAGACAAATCTTACTTCTAAACTTACTTTGTTCGAAGGTCTTGAAGAGAGAAGAAATAAAGAGAGAGAAGATCATGCTCAAAGAATTGAAAGTGAGATTATGAAAATTGCTAATCTCCAAATGACTATCAATGACATCCTAAGATCTCTAGATGAACTTGAAAGCAAACTAGCTAGTGATGGAAACAAAGACATTGTTGGAGCAGCACTTGAAAATGAAAGAGATTCTCTCACTCTCAAGTTAAAATGGGCACTTGAGGAGAGAGACAATAGCAGGAATGATATCAAAGAAGCTATTGAGCTCCTCAGAGCAAAGCAAGCTGAAGCTACTGAACAAGAGAGACAAATTCAAATTCTTCAGAAAGAGATCAGAGAGGTCATAGCATTGGTTACAGAGAAGAAGACAATTATTACTGAGCTAGAACTTGAAATTGAGAAATGAGATGAAAGAATTGAGTTCCTAGTTATCAGAATTAGAGAGCTAGATAATGAAATCCATGAGCTCACTATCATCTTAGATCAAAGAGAGATGAGACTCAGAGAGCTTAGTGAAATTATTGGCAGACCACAACCAGTTGAAGTCCACTATAAAGCTGTAAAGGGAGATGAAGTTGATGAAATGCTTGCTCAATATCTGGAAAATTGCCCAGTCCCAGTTAAAAGATTGGGAGGAGGATTCTACATCTTCGGGACAAGGAAGATCTATGCTAAAATTATGAACGGGAAACTTGTCGTCAGAGTCGGAGGAGGATACATGTTTATCTCCGAATTTATTGCGACTTACTCTGAGCCAGAAATAGCTAAGCTTACTAAAATAGCTTCCAACCTAGGAGTTGAATCTATCTGGGATCTAGATTTAGAAGAACTATTCTTTAACAAAGGAGGAGCAAGTCCTAAGACATCTGCACTTGATAAATCACCAAGAGGAGGGATAGGAGTTGGTTCATTCAAGAAATCAAAGAAGGGTAAGACAGGAAACTTTGCTATGAATGGAAGCAAGAGGCCAAAGACATTCAAAGGTGGGTTTTAAAGATTTAAAGCCATATTGTATCGCATAAGCTTGCTCAATATACTGATAGAATCTAGGGGTTTTGGGGTTTTGGGGTTTTGGGGTTTTGGGG